CCAAACTGATTCTAAGCTGCACAGCTTAAAAGACTTTTGGGCAATGATGAAGTTGCTGGGGATGCATACCCCAGCACTCCAGCGAGAACATTTCAAGCCCCAGCCCCAACAGCAACGGTCCTACCCTGCTCACCCTAGACAAGACTTTTACAGACGAAGGTCTAGAAATTCTAGGTGCAAACCACCCCACTCCCAGTCAGGGCAAGGCCAGGGCCCGACCAAGCCATCGTTGGGCTCAAAGCAGGCCTTTTGAAGAGGCGCCCAAGGACGGCGTACCTGTCATGACACCAGATCCTCCTCCTTACTTTTTGAATCGCCTATTCCACTTCTACCCTGCATGGTCCCAGATAACATCGGACCATTGGGTTCTTTGCATGGTAGAGGTGGGATATTCTCTCCAGTTCTGCTTCTTCCCTCCCTCCCACTCTCCTACCCACCCACCCACCTTCCCCATCCCTCTTCAGGGACCCTTCTCACGAGCAACTCCTTATCCAGAAGGTGCAATTGCTCCTAGATATAGGGGCTGTGGAGGAGGTTTCTCAGGAGCAAAGGGGCGAGGGATTCTACTCCCATTATTTCTCATCCCCAAGGCAAAGGGGGGGTCTCAGACCCATTTTAGACCTGCGTGGACTCAACAGGTTCATGGTAAAGTTGAAATTCCACATGGTCTCCCTGAGCACAATTATCCCTTCCCTGGGTCTGGGTGACTGGTACACTGCCCTCGACATGAAAGACGCGTACTTCTACATAGCCATTCAACCTCAGCACAGACGGTTTCTACGGTTTGTGGTCAGCCATAAACATTACCAGTTCACGGTCCTCCCATACGGCCTATCGACTGTGCCCCGAGTATTCACCAAGTGCATATTGGTGGTAGCAGCCTTCCTCCACAGGAGGCAGGTACAGACATATCCTGACCTAGACAACTGGCTGCTGCGGGGCCATTCCAGGGAGCAGGTGGAGTCTCACGTCCAACTAGTCAAATCCACATTTCAGAGACTAGGACTTCTCCTCAACATGAACAAGTCAACCCTATCACCAACCCAGAGAATAGAATTCATCGGGGTGGTACTGGACTCGATACAAGAGAAAGCTTACCTACCAGAGACACGATTTCAAGCCATAGCGGGCATCATTCAGGACCTCATGCAGTACCCCACCACTACGGCTTGGGCTTGCCTGGCCCTCCGCAGCCACATGGCAGCCTGCATGTACGTGGTCAGGCATACCAGACTCAGACTCAGGCCACTCCAAGCGTGGCCTGCTTCTGTATATCGCTTGTGGCGCGACAGGCTGGACTCAGTACTTACATTGCCACAACAAGTATTTCAGTCCCTCCATTGGTGGCTCCACCCCAATACAGTGTGCAAGAGAGTTCCTTTCAACAGCCCACAGCCCACCTTGACCCTAGTAATGGACGCATCATTGTTGGGTTGGGGGGCATACCTGGGGGACCGCCAGACACAGAGGCTATGGTTGCAAGACAAGCTCTCTCTTCACATCAATATCAGGGAGCTCAGAGCAGTACAATTGGCTTGCCAAGCATTCCTGTCCATACTACAAGGCCAGTGCATGGTAGTGATGATAGACAACACCACTGCCATGTTTTACATCAACAAGCAGGGGGGAGCGTGTTCCTCTCCCCTATGTCAAGAAGCCCTTCAACTTTGGGAGTTCTGCATAGCACACTCCATTCACCTGGAGGCATCCTATCTCCCAGGAGTGCAGAATGAACTAGCGGACCAACTCAGCAGATCGTTCTGCAATCACAAGTGGTCCATCCGATCAGATGTTATTCACTCCATCTTCCAAAGGTGGGGATTTCCCCAGGTCGACCTGTTTGCCACCAGGAACAACAGGAAATGCCCAGTGTTCTGCTCCTTTCAGAACCACAGCCTGGGCTCCCTCTTGGATGCATTCCTACTACCCTGGGGAGGCCACCTCATGTATGCCTTCCTGCCAGTCCCTCTCGTGCATAGAGTACTGCTCAAGATCCACAGAGACAAGGCAAAGGTAATCCTCCTTGCTCCTGCATGGCCCTGTCAGCATTGGTACACCACACTTTTGAAGCTGTCAGTGGATGACCTGATAGCTCTACCACTCTGCCCCGACCTAATCACACGGGCCACGGCCACCTTCACCACCCAGACCTTCAGTCCCTCCATCTCACCACCTGGAAGCTTCATGGTTAAATCTGATGGAGCTCCTGTGCTTGAGTCCTGTCAGAAACGTCCTTCTCGGCAACAGGAAACTATCCACCAGGGTCATTTATTTAGCCAAGTGGAAAAGGTTCACATGCTGGTGTGAGGAGCATCATAAACCTCCCTTACAGGCACCAGTTCCACTCATCTTAGAGTACCTCCTACCCCTGAAACAACAAGGCTTTGCACCGTCCTCTATTAAAGTACACCTTGCGGCCATCTCGGCTTTCCACCCGAGAGCGTCCGGCCGTTCTGTATTCACCAATCCCATGGTGGGGCATTTCTGGAAGGGTCTGGAAAGGTTATACCCACATGTTTGTCAGCCAGTACCTCCGTGGGACCGTAACCTGGTATTATCCAGGCTCATGGGGCCCTCCTTTGAGCCATTGGCAACTTGCTCTTTGCTCTCTTTGTCCTGGAAGGTTGCCTTCCTAGTCTCTATTACATTAGTTAGGAGGGTGTCTGAGCTGAAGATACTAACTTCTGATCCACCTCACACGGTCTACCACAAGGACGAGGTGCAACTCAGGCCTCACACAACTTTTCTTCCCAAGATGGTGTCTCATTTTCATACCACCCAAGATATCTTCCTGTTCATTTTTGATCCCAAGCCTCACATCAGTGCCCGGGAACAACGGCTTCATTCACTGGACGTCCAGAGGGTGTTGGCATTCTACATTGAGCGTACTAAGCCGTTCAGAAAATCGAACCAACTATTCATGACAGTTGCAGATTGGATGAAAGGACGCCCAATCTTGTCTCAGCATATGCTATGAGCTGGCCAAGGTCCTGGCTCCGCCTATTACAGCTCACTCCACAAGAGCTCAAGCCTCTTCAGCGGTATTTCTGGCCCAAGTCCTGGTACAGGAGATCTGCAGAGCAGCTACTTGGACATTGGTCCATACGTTCACCTCTCACTATGCTATCACCCATCATGCCAGAGATGATGCAGCCTTCGGCAGAGCCGTGCTCCAATCAGTGGTTCCTTGACGCCTACCCCTCCTCCCGGGTAGAGCTTAGGAGTCACCTGATTGGAATTGATGTGAACAAGCACTCGAAGAAGAAAAACAGTTACTCACCTTCTCATAACTGTTGTTCTTCGAGATGTGTTGTTCACGTCCATTCCAATACCCACCCTCCTTCCCCTCTGTCGGAGTAGCCGGCAAGAAGGAACTGAAGGGGGGTCGGGTCGGCAGGGTCATATATTGAGCACCATAAAGGTGCCACTCCAGGGGGCTCCATGGCTGACCCGTGCTGCTAAGGGAAAACATTCCAATGATCGTGCATGCGGCGCGCACACCTGATTGGAATGGACGTGAACAACACATCTCGAAGAACAACAGTTACGAGAAGGTGAGTAACTATTTTTTATTCAATTTTTTCCCCCAGGTGCTATTCCTTCTAATCGACCTTCGCTTAATGGAAAGTCTTTTCCACAAACATTCCTCTCTTCACTGGTCTCTCAGCAGAGCTTTGATGAGATGGCTAATAATGTCACAAACAGAGCACTTTTCCAGGTATGAAGTCATTGAACGTACACATCTCAAATATAAAACTAAAAGTAACAGTTTGTTGGATGTGTGTAGTTGTGTTTCATGTATGAAATGTATTGTTACGTAGGAGTCACCGATGACTACACTGCATTCCAGAATAGAGGTGGGTCATTTCTTTCTTTGGACTGTTTCTCGTAGTTGCATGGTTCAGGGTTTGAGACATCAGCTAGTGGAGCCAATAAAGGTCTTTCCTTCTTTTTGGTCTCAGAACTAACAAACAACCATTCTTTCACAAACTGAGAAGAGACAAAAATCGGGTGAAACAAAACACATTCTCAAGACTGCTGAAGAGTCCTAAATGACTTGAAAGGGAACTTGAATGGCGGGGGAAATAATTGCTGAGTAGAACTGGGCTAGCAATTCACAATGAACAGATTTAAAATTTGTATTAAAGCTAATGTTTAAATTATATAATACACAGGTTGAGAAAAGAGTGTCTGTACATCTGGGAATAGTACTTAGATTATCCACAAATAAAAAGTTTGTTAAAAAATTTATAAGATACCTATAGTACATAATCTACAGTAACCCAAATTTAGATAAATAAATGTAACAATACAGTTTAGATATTAGAATCAGAATACTCTGGTAAATCACTCATGAAAAGTTATACAGAGAGTTGGTTGTAGAAAGCAAATATAGGAATGAATGTAGATTATCCCGCAGTAATTGAGCATTTAGGATAGGTTGTCCCTTAGTAGATATAATCCATCAGAGAAGTATTTCAGTTACTTTCCGATATCTACTCGGTGAACGTAACTTTGTTCTCTGTGAACAAACTGATTTTAGGATATATTCACTATTTGAAATTATTTTGTGCATATAAATTTCTGCCAATAAATGGCTCAGTCTTTCTAAATTTTGCACTCTCCCCAGGATTCCTTTCAGTATCAAATATTTGTCAAGCTTTGTGACTTCTCACCAGTATATAATAGAGAATACCAACACCTGTTCCACATGGTATTGTTTTTGTTCTCTGACATGGTACTGTTCCACATGGTATTGTTCTTTGTTTGGATGACCTGTCCTTTCAACACAACTTCCTCCTGAACCATATTTCTTTTTGCAATTAAATGAATCTTTGCCACAGGGCCAAAATTCTCTTTCTGCCCTGGCAATACTTTGCTTACATGAAAGTTCATAAAAAGCATACAATAAGTAATTTATAGCTTATGAACAAAAAAAATTGAATGAATAAGCGCATGAACTTGCCCATTATTGTTTGCTTCTGTTACAGAACACCATAACTGAAGAACTGAACAATACAATAGAGAATATCCTGACACGGGTCGTGGCTGAAGTAACAAGTATCTTATACCCAGCAGTAACTGAGTATGAAGAGAGAATTAAAGATACAGTATATACAATATCTGAAGAGTCAGCACTCTCTTCAGACAACTCTAGTAGCTGTAGCACATGTAATGGAGAGCTCTTTGATGTGTTTGCAAGTCTTCCATCCTCCAGTACCAGAAAGGTCATCTTTACAGATACAAGCATAAAAGCCACCAGCTCACCAAGTGATCTCAAGATAGTGACAGGAGGGAAACCAACTCCATTGCAATCTCAAAAATCATCTTTCACGTCTCTGTCAAAGAGCACACAGAGGTCTCTGGAAAGTGAATTTTGGAAAGAATGTGTTCACAAGGGGAAAACAGCAACACCACCTCAGTATCATACTGAATGTATTTCGAGATTGCGCCGGGAAGTTGTGGGCATGGGAGCTATGTCTGAGTTTCCCACAAAGACTTTCAACACAGAGAAGTTTCCTTTTAGCCAAACTTATTTTAAACGTGAATCGGCAACAAAAGATACCAAGCCAAAAAAAGGTCTGATTGGTGAGGATATTTTTTCAGACTTAAATCAAGATCTTCCTAAAGGAGGTATTTTTAAAAAAGTGTTTGACAAGCAAACAGTATCAGACGCAAATAACAATGACAACTTGAAAATGCTACAGGTGGCCGAGAATGTGGTCAAGGAAGTTTTTAGGAGAGTAAAAGATCTAAGTGATTCTGTCAGCATTTTAAAGAACGCTCCCATTGAGCTTAGTGAAAGGTTGTTCTGTAGTAGTTTTAAAAGAACTGAATTTCCTGAGACTTTTCATAAAGAGTTCCAGAAAGAAATTGGATTAGTTGCTAAAGAGATTGTAGCAACTGTTTTGGATAACTTTCACAAGTGTTTGGTGTCTAGCATCACTATGGCATCAGACCAAGAACCTGTAATAAGAAGGAAAGACCAGGTCCCTGGCAGAAGAACTAGCAGAGTTTCCAAATCAAAAAAAAATAAGATCATGCAAGCTGAATTGCCTGCTTATGACCCAACATTTTCTTCATTTACTATTGATAAAATATCCAAAGAGGCTGTGGAAAGTGTTGTATTCACACTAGAGTCATTTGTAGCCTTTCAGTTTAAACATGACTTTAAATGTAAATTTTCTGAAATAGTGAAACTCCCTGTTGAAAATATTTCTAGTGAACAACAGACACCATGCTTAAGGCCTCTCTCAACCCAGATAGCAAATGAAATAGAAGTATCATCTAAAGCATTTGAAGATGAAATGCCAGGAACTACAAGTAAAAGAACGCTGCCAACTTTAGAACAATTCCAGAGTTCATCGGATGTATCAAGGGTAAGCAGTATGATTACAAAGGAAAGCATAGAAAGTGCTATTGTCCAAGTGCAAGGTCTCCATTCAGAATTGAACATTTACGCTACAATTGCTGTTAATGATGTTCTTGAAATCTTCAAGCGGAAGCTAGAAAAAGAAATTAGCCAAAGGCAAACAATCCCATTGTATGATGACTCCGAAGAAAACATTATGGCAGGCGAGATAATTGGTGCTGTATTAGATCGATGTGCTCACCCTCAAACTGAAATTACTTTGGAACTGAAATCTGGGAATCTTGAAATGGAAAAGTCTGCACGAACATTTGGAAATAATAAAATTCATGGTCAAGGTGTTGCAATGTCAGAAGGAATAAAACTGCCTGCTAGAAAATTAAAAGAACTTGACCCAAGGGAAAATTTTCCACCTATCAATGTTCCTGGAATGGTGATTTATTCTGAGGAAGAAACAGAAATGGAAGAGGAAATTCCATCTCGTCTCTGTCCAACAATCCACAAATTCTCAGAGCGGGATGCTCACACGCCATCAGAGGTGACCAAAAAGTCTATGTACTACATGTCAGCTCCCACAGCAAGACCTTCTAGACCGTCGCTGGGAACAATAACTAAACAAAGAGCAGTTAGCTCCAGGATGACTCTACCTCCTATTGGTAAGCAGTTTCCAAGGAAACCCTTCTCTCCACTGGGCATAATGAAATCTCCCAGAGATGAGGCAAGGCATAGGCAGGTGTATGAAGAGCACTGCCGGTTCATGTCAACACATGAAACCAAGTATCAGCTATCACAATCACAGGATTGTGCATTACCTGCAATAGTAGTAGAAGAAATAATAAGTAAATTGGTGTCTACAATCTTAAACTCCGTTTGTAGCACAAGCCTGGAACACAAAAGATGTTTATCAAAAACTGAAGTGAATGAGATTACGGACACACTTAAACAGTCAGTAAAAAAAAGCATGTCCAAAAATAAAATCAGTCTTGTAGGAGCTACAGATGAAGACCAACATTTAAATCCAGAGTATGAAGATACTGTTAATCAAGTGGTTCAAAGCATTTACAATAGTGTCTTGCAAGAAACTGGATCTCAGCCAGCCCTTTATCAAGATGTCACAAGTTGCAGAACAATTTTTCCTGAACGAACAGCCAGTATAATAATAAATGAAATCTCCAGTGGTCAGCTAATACATTCTTTTAATGAACAGTCACCAACTGATAACTGCAGTACTATAGAGGTTGACAGTACTGCTGACAAAGATCTTTCATCAGTCTCCATTCAAATAAATATTGAGGCAGGAAGTTCTGGAGAGTCAATGAGGGATGCAAATGGGCACCTAGCAGAAACATTGCTACAAGAAGAGCTACCAGTTGAAATAATCGCTCATATTGGAGAAAAACCATTAGACATAGATCCAAATGTTATTTCAGACCATTTAGCAGTTATTTCCATAAAAACAGAGCCTATTGAGAAACTGAATGAAACATACATGAGTCATTCTGGACTAGAGCTACCACAACTAAGAAAAAAATCGATATCTAAGACAAGTATGCTAAGTACAGCTACTGAAAGTGATATAGAGAAAAGGAGAGAAAGACGGTCCTCTGTGAATGCTTTAGGACGACTAGATGTCAAACCAAAGGATGTAAGTAAAAAGAATGGGTAATTTTCATATGAAAATTGGTAAAAAATTGTTTATCATACTGTCACTATGATCCTGATCCAGGAAAGCATTTAAGCATTTAAGCATTTACTCACATGCTTAAGCAGGTTACGGGATTGGCAACTAGGGCCTCAATTCAGGAAAACACTTAAGTATATGCATAACATTAAGCATATGCTCCTGTCCTATTGAAGTCAATGGGATTTAAATATATGCTTAAAATTAAGCATATGTTTAAGTGCTTTGCTGAATCAAGGCCAAGTAGTCTGTTTTGGATATTGTATTTGATAGTTTATGTTGCCTTCATATTTTATTCTCATCTCTTTTCATTCAGAAAGTTTAAATACAATAGAGTGGGCAAAGTATATACTAAGAATATAATGTTGATTTCTTATCACGAGTGTGTTCAAAAGAGTCTTTGGCATCTTGGTAGCAAGTCTAGTCCTGATAGTAAAAGAGAGGTAGTGTGTCTAGTGGTTAGTGAAGGGAATTTAGAGTCAAGACTTCTAGATTAATATTCCCAAAACTGCTCCTGACTCTTGTGTGACCCGGAACAAATCACTCAGGGCCAGATTCTGATAGTCTTACTCAGGCTGAGTGGTACCATGCTTCTCCAGTTGTCTTATTAACTTAAATTGAACTACCCCTGGAGTAAGATGCTACCCCGCCTGAGTAAGGGTGGCAATATCTGGCACTGAGCCTCTCTCTGGCCTCCAACCTCTTTACTTGTGGTAAATTAGTAGATACTATGAGTGAAATCCTGTCCCCATTGAAGGCAATGGCAAAACTCCCATTGATGTCAGTGAGGGCAAGATTTCATCCTTCCGGGGGTCTGCTGTGTTTCCTCTCTTTTATGATAGCCTTTCCTGTGATTATCACCTCATCCAACAGAGTGAACAGCCTTTTATTTAAAAAAAAATGTTTCAAATACAAAGTCCTGGTTTTTCCTGCGTACTCAAATGGAGTAAAAACAATGTATCCATATGCAAGGCTAAAACAGTCTCCCCGTACCATCTTGTTTTATAATTAGCGCACAGTAGACAAATTGTACGAAAAACTACTCTGAAATATTGTTCTCTTCAAAAGTTGTCTCTTCAACAACAGGTCGTTTGCAGAAATTCATTTCAGAACCTGAAGAAACCTGATGTCACCAGGGTGGAACTTCTAAAAGATGTCAAGAGCAAGGAGGAACTTATTTTACGACTCGTCTCATATGATATTCAACATGATGAGGACGAGGATTTTGAACAAATTGTAAAAGTAGATTCCGCTTCGGTTTTTGAGAGCCAGATATATGCAGCAGGGAAAGAGGAAATCATGCCTGCTTATGAGAGTGCCCCTTTGGCTGATATGCAGAATAATTTAATTGCTGCCCAGGCCCCTGAGAAAGAGGATCAGTACAAGGTAAGTGGAGTACGTGAAACCTTTACTATTTCACCTGATTACACTGGGCCAAGTCCTG